CGACAATACCAACACTACTACCACTACAAGTGAAAAACGTCTCAACTTTGCTCTACAGTCTCGAAAAAACTCTTCTGATGGGAGGACAAGTGGCGAGAAAAACCCTGAACTTAAATCGGAAGCATTTGCACATTCCAAGAATCGATCGAACTTTGAGTTTTGGCGGTCGCAAGTGGAGTCGAGCACCGTCGAGTCGAGTCGAGTCACCAGTTCTCCGCAGACGATTCAGCAGCCTCTCCAATCAGCCATTTGCAGTGTCAATCTTGGTAGTAGTGGTGATGGCACGCTGAGCGCCGATAGCGGAGTGTCAACAACACGCCAACCCAATCAACAGAAAAACGTGGATGTTGAGCGTGAGGTGGAGTCTGCAACGCCAAAAGGTGGAGATGAGACGGCTGCAACGCAAGACGACGCGACGACTGCTGCTGCTGCAGCGGAGATCCTTACAGAGGCAGGCAGCTCAGACATTGTTTCAGCAGGACTGAAAGAGAACAAACAGCAGTTGCTGGAGCAGCAGCAGCAACAGAACCCAAAGCCAAAGCCAATTCTCAAGCGACAGGACGTTCCAATAAGCATTGTCGCGTTACCGCCTGCCACCACCCTACCCCCACCTATTCTCAAGAAACGTGACAGCTTTAGCGGCGGCAGCAGCAGCAGCAGCGGCATCAATGAATGCTATTCCAGTGCACAGCAGTCTTGTGCAATACATGTGCAAAATGGTAAGCTCAGCTTTCTGTCATTATCGGTGACCGCTAATAACAACGCTTTATCGCAGTGATTACATCCGCAAAGCCTGCTTCGATACTCAAAAACCGACAGCCTCGTGGGTCGTATTCGTTCGATGAGAATGTTCATGTCAATGACGTGCCATCATCTTCTTTCGATGATGGAGCGCATCTGTTGAAGCCAATCCTGAAGAAAAAGTCGTGGAGCATCGAGGAAAAGGTGGCTGTTTCTACGAATAGTTCAAACCTAAACGAGGCAGTCAAGGGAATTCTCAAGACATCTAGCGACAAATTGGCTTCCTTCTCAGCGTCATCTTCTCGCAAAAACTCCGCAGTAGACGAGCTTGCCGTGTTATCCATTTCTAGTGCAATTACCCAGTCCAGTTCCACCGCCTCTCCCACTAAAGCAACTCTAAAAGGAATTCTCAAAACATCGCCCAAAAATCGCTCTGCATCCATCTCGCCTTCTAGTTCATTTGAGGCACTGTCAGATGACACTGAACTTGACGCTGTTCCATTGCCACCGTCGTCACCAAAGCCTACTACAAGTGCAGCTATGTTCTGTAGAGAAGTGTCTACGCAAGAAGAAGAGTATTCTCCGCCAGACGTGCCATCGTCAGACTCGATAATGAGCTACAGTGATTTTACCGTACAACAACACCAACACGAACAACTCTGCAATGAGGACTCAGCAAACAGCCAGCCAGTTCCTGCGGTGGCTGCTGCATCGTCTGCTAGGCCAGCGTTGTTCAAGACCATCAGTGTACACGCCTCCTCCGACAGTGACAGTCCCTCTGGCAGCCCTCTTAGTTCTAGTGAAACGCACACTAGTGACTGTAGTGTGTCCCAGCAGCAAAGTGTTCCCTCTAGCCAGATAGATGATGCAGTGAATGATGATGATGTTGATGATGATGAATCTCCCTCCCAAGAGTCTAGCGCCGACACAGCACTCACCAGTGACCATGAAAGCTGTGAGGAAACTGATTTGAGGTAAACCTGATGATTTGAGCGACCTTGCACTCTACTCCCCCGAACCCTGTGACCTTTTCTTTCTTTCCTGCCTTCTTTCCACCTTTTATCCTTTTCTTTGAATATATCCTCCTCATCTTTTTCTGATTTTCTGACTTAAACTATTAACCCCACTGTCTGCGCCGCCATTCGGCAGAGTGTTTGCCTCTACTCTGCCGATTCTCTTTCCCATTTCATTACTGCCTTTCGTTCCGAGCTTGTTTCTGACCTCGAGCGATTGTCTTTCTTCTTCTTTTCCACTGAACAATTTTACCTTTTCACGGCGCAATCCAACTTGATTGATTTGCACCCCCGTTTGCTTACCTCCCTTTTTATTTTTGTATAACCACCAACTATTTTCTTTCAACTTCCCTCATTAACTTGTTACCATTCTATTCTGTGTCTTTTCCCTCTATTTTTTCCCTTCTCCCTTCTTTGCATCTATCTATCTCTGTCTGTCTCTGTTTGTCTTACCGGCGACCACAACAATAAACTGTTGCGTTACACCGATCGAGTCAATGAGTGGTGCACTAATTGACTCAGTGCCCTGCCTCAGTGCGTAATGGCCTGTCAATAGCGTCGTTGGCATTGTTCTCTCTCTCTCTGCAGCCAGGTCCAATCGACCTTATCGAGCGCAGGAGACGCTCTCTCGGCTTCACTGGCAGCAGCACCATCAGACGCCAGCAGTCAGCATCAACAGTGCGCACTGCCCAACCAATCGTCCGTCGTTCTGTGGCCTATGGTTGCCGTGATCGTGGTGGTGCTGGCGCGCTTGTACGATGATTTCGGCGGATTTAAAGCGAAGCACAGAGCACCGCCGCAAATGCTGATTTGTTTAGAGTCTGACTAGGCGCACACCACTGCCACTGACACTGCCGCTATCAGTGCTCTATCTGACCATTCGCTGTCGCCTTCCTTTTTCGCGCTCTCTCTCTCTCTCTCTTTCGCTCTCTCGATTCGCCACTTTTTTCTCTCTTTCATTTCTGCGATTTCTTTGCCACTGTTTGCATTTTTACTTCCTTCACAGCGCACTCATTTCGCATTTACATTTCAACCAAGTTTTCTATACTTTACAGCAGCATGAACCTGACGGTGTTTCGGCCAAAAACCTCCGGCTCAAGTGATGCCTCCTCTTCCTCCTCCTCCAAGTCGAGACCAAAGAGCTGTCTGGTCACATCAGCGGAGCTTCTTGGCGGAAAGACTTCCCTTGCGAGCTCCTCCATCGCGCAGAGGCTGGCACTGCTCAAGCAGAGCGGCGAAGAGGGGTGGANAGCTTCTTGGCGGAAAGACTTCCCTTGCGAGCTCCTCCATCGCGCAGAGGCTGGCACTGCTCAAGCAGAGCGGCGAAGAGGGGTGGAAGAATCGAGTGCAGAAGGCAGACGTCGAGAAGGAAATCGTCAGCACAGCTGCTCCTGCCGCCGCCATCATTCCCGCCGCCGCATCTGAGGAGGTGGTTCGACTGCGACCGAAAAAGGCCGGCGACACCGGCGACGTCGGTTCGCGCGGCAGCGTCATCACCAGCCGTCTCTCCTGCCTGATAGACTCGCAGGCTCAATGGAAAAGCCGGGTAGGCAAAAGCGACGCGAAGCAGTTCACCGTCGCGTCGAAGCAGAACTACCGCCATTCTGCTGTGGTGGTTACACCAGCCAAAAGCATCAGCACCAGCACCAGCACCACCGCCGACGCACTACAGCCAAAGATGGATCCCACCGAGAAGGTCGTCCTGCGAGGAACCCCAAGGCGACTGGGCCTGCGGGGCTCCACACTGAACGAGTCGGCTCTGAACGCCGTCAGCTCTAAGCTCAACAATGTCCTCCGCCCTGATAAGAGCATGCTCTCCGGCCCGCTCAGTCCCATTCGCAAGAAGGCAGATGATTTGCCTACTCCTAGTCCGGTGACGATCGACGCTCCGAAGCTCGACGTGAAGCTGACGAGAAAGCCTAATTTGCTCAGCACTGCCACTTCAGCTTCTTCATCCACTCAACCCACCACCGTGTACCTCCCCAGACCCGATGATGAGGACAGTTTTGGCTCATTTTTTGGACTGGACAGCTCTAAATTGGACCACCTTTTGAAACAAGACGCCAAAACAGCCGATCCGAGTTTGATTTTGCTCGATTCTCTTCCCAACGAACCAACTTCTCTGTGAGTATTACACTTGCTGCATTATTTCCCATTCTGCTTTGCACTATTTTATTTATAGCCTAAGTGAACTGACTATTTCTTCTTAATGCAACATCTTGCTATATCAGCGCGTAGTTCACTCACTTGTAGCTTGCCAGGAAAGAGACAGACAGACAGTGCGCACTGTTTGTGAG